AATTCATAACAATTCAGCCCTTAATCCAAACGTCCTGAAACTCTGCAGAATTAAACTAGACACATATAGGATTCACCAGAATTTAAAATCACTCAATTTGGATAAGAATAGATGCATCAAATCAGTTTCCAAAATAAATGTTCTGCAGAAAACGAAAATTCCAGAACATCACAAGGCAACTTCAAAAATCCATATAAAATTCAATCCTTCTGAGTTTTTACGTAAAATAAATTTCTAAACACTCCTTAAGAAGTCTACAATAACATATCCAAAATTCAGTTTCAAACAAAAACCCAAAACATATAGACAATTTTCGGAGTTCCAGATGGTCAGATTTCTGTACAGTAAATCCTTACATCAAAAATCATATCTTTAACCCATTTTTGTTTAGAAACAACTTCTATGTTCTACCCACACCAAATTATTAAAATCAATCTCTCTATTTGAGTTTTGTTTTCATGAATTTATATCAAATCATAGACAAAATAATCCAAAGAGAGTTCTGAATCATAAATCACCAAAAAGAAGAAATATCAAGCTTTACTAACCTCCCATTTGCTTGATCTTCCTCCACTCTCCGATCACCGGAGTTTTGCTCGCCGGCGGCCCCTTTTGCAGCCACCTCCGTCGGTCTCCTATCTCCTCTCTCCCTCTATTCTTGGTTTCATCTTTCTCTCCCTTTTTTTTTCTATTCTTTCTTTCCTTCTTCCTCTCATTCTCTTCTTCTTCTTTCTCTCCTCTCTTTTCTTTCTCTCCTTTTCTCTCTTTTCTTTTCTTCTTCTTCCCCGTTTTTCTTTTCATTGAATATCACTGTTCATCAAAATATCTAAAAAATTTAAATTTAGTCCTCACTTATTTCGTCTATCATCAAAATATCTAAAAAATTTCACCCCCTACACATGGTGGAGTCAACTCTTTACGCCATCGAGCCTCTTCACAAAATCTCCTCCACATCCCAGACATTGTTAGCCACAGTTGTAGAGTCAGAAACAGATAGTGTAGAAATCAGAAATCCCATATCTAGAAATAGTTTAATAGAAATGTACAACAAGTTTATGAACTTTCTGCAAGTTTTTTCTGGAAAAGAAGAGTACCAATTGTATGACACTTATCAAAGTAACTACAGACCTTCGAGAAAACCTTACCTAAAATAGTGAGACTAAAGAGAGATAATTCTAAGAGACCGTCTTTCTTTTGAACGGGTCCAACACGTCTACAATGTGAAGCAGTGAGACTGTTCCGGGTAAGTCTTTCTCGAAAAGAAGAATCACTGGCATGACACTTATCAAAGTAACTGCAGACTTTCGAGAAAAACTTACCTGAAATAGTGAGACTAGAAAGAAATACTTCTGAGAGATTATCTTTCTTTTGAATGGTTTCAGTACATGAACAATGTAAAATAGTAAAGAGTACCACTTGCATGGCACACTTAGCAAAGTAACTGCTAACTTTCTGCATTATCAGCGGCCATTAAGGAGCAACTTCCTGAATATAAGAGAAAGTCGAGAGTAAAGCACCAAGCATGCGAAAATGGAATAGGCACAACGTAGTTCTCGTTTCAGTGCAAAAAGCCAAAGCTCTTCAACAACTGTGCCATTGTAGAACACTCAAGCCATTGTATTTGCATGCAAAAAAAATTCTCAAACAAAAGATATCCATGTCTGGAGTAGAATTGTTTTGTCACGGTAAGTACAATTTTATGTTTATAATATTGCTTATTGTTAGTAATAAAATAAAACTAGAGAGTCTATAGAAACAGAATATATGGTTGTTAACTTCAGAGACAGGGAAGACCTGATGGCCGGAGTTGGTGGGAACAAATGGAGCAGATACAGCAGAGATTATTATAAGAGAAAATCCAAATGTTGTTGCTAATTAGATTGTTAAAGGAAGAGTTGCAACCATGGATGTTCTTTGTGAAAGGGTTGGGTGTAGGTTGGCATGAGCATGGAATTGTAACAAAAACGCCAACAATTTGCTAAGTATAATGGCAAACAATAATGTACCGACACCGAAGTTTTACACTGAAATTTTTACACCGAACGATGTGTCACCTAAGTAGATGTAATCACGTAGCATATTAACAAATTTTCTATAAATGAACGTCTCGTCCATCAAATATGGAACGTCCATAATTATTGGACGGCTGTTCATTTTAAATGTGTTCTCGTTCATGCGAAAATAATAATGGACGTGTCACATAGAATAGACACCCTCTAGGTTAAATTAAAATTTTTTTAAAAAAAATAATAACGTCCTCCATAATATAGAACGAATGTCCTTATTAGAAGAAAAAAAAAAAAAAAAAAAAAAAAAAAACACTGATGTACTATCACCAACTAAAACAAATCATTTCTCGTTTACCTCTATTGTTTATCACTTATCATGAAGTGCATCAATATTAAGGTCTTCTTTTGCTAATTCCTTGAAACGAACCTTTTTTGCTTTTTATTCTTTCTTAACTTCATGTGGCTCCTACCCCAAGAAAATCAAGGGCGTGGTGGACGGCATCAAAATGGTTGCCTACTGATGATGAAGCTTCACTGGCTAAAACTTGAGAAGTAGATGACGTGAAATCAAACAAAAATAATGGACACCCGTCCATATATATGATGGGCGTCCCTATTAATAGTTTAAAAATGTCAGATATTATATTATTTTCCACCTTAAATTTTCCAAACTTCAGCAGCAAGAATGGCTTCCTCAAAGAAGAAAACTAATTAGCAATCTCGAGACAACAACCCAATTTTTAGGATTTAATTTGATTTTGTATCGCACTTACAGGGGCATCAGTTTTTACTGCCAAGATTCATCAGCCATAATTTCACCAATATTGCATACTTAGAGTGCAATGGTAAGAAACTATTTAATTTTTTTTTTATAGGGACCCCGTCCATTATTATGACTGACGTCCATTATTTTTGTTTTAATTTTTTTTTAATTTAAACTATGGACGTGCATCCATTCTGATGGATGTCCGTCCATTGTTATTTTCGCATGGATGGAAGTTCATTTAAATGAATGTCCATCCAATAACTTAGACGCCCGTCCATATTTGATGGACAACTTTTCATTCGCAAAATATTTGTTAATATGCTACGTGGTTGTGTTTACTTAGTGACACTCGTTTGGTGCAAAATTTCATGTAAACTTATGTCCGGAGCATTATGGATTAGCAAATAAGAGAAATCAAATTGTGTTGTTACCCACCCATGGCTAGCCCAGTGGTAAGGGTGATCCAAGGGGGCTGTAAATGCATAGAATCTACAGTCCCATGTTCAATACCTAGCTAGGCATTGCCCATGATTTACCTGAGCGGCCATGATGGTGGGTCGCTGTGGGATAGCTTCTTCTGAGAATTAGTGAAGGTGTGTATAAGTTTGCTTGCTAGCTTTATATGATTTTTGAAGTACAATTTTTTTTTTTTTTTTGTCCCAATATTGTACATAATCCCTCTTCCATTCACAAGCAATGAGAGGGTCTTAAATGCGAGGATGTACATATAATTGTCAAATTATAAGATGTGAATATGTTAAGGATAATTACACTTGAGTTTAGTAGATGTTTTTAGTAACGTTTTGATTCATGAGATTTTTCAACTCACAAACAAAGATCAAAACATTACTAAAAAATCTACTAAACTCAAATTCACCTGGTTCAAACTGACAAAATTGTTATTTTCTCGAATAACTGGTCTTAAATGGGAGGATGTACAAAATTGTACGCTAACCTGTTATTGGATGATTATTTTTATGTTCGTGGGTTACAATGAAGTTTTTTTTCCCCTCATGACAAGTAGTAGGCTTTAGTGGCTAATATTACCATCACGTCTTGCTGTAAAAATGAGACCATCCAATGAAACAATACCAACTATTAGAGGTGGCGGTGGGCCATGTCGGGCCTAAAAATTCAAGGCCTATCGTGCCGTACGTCTTACCGTACCAAGGCATGCACAGTTTTGTGCCCTCTCGTGTCGTGCCGGCCCACAAAATTTGAAGGCCTACGGCACGGCCCATTAATATCGTGCCATGGGCCGGCCCACGTGCTTTGTAAAAATATTTAATTTTAATATTTATAAATAATGGTAATTTTGATTTACTATTAATAATTATTTTTAAAATATTTTATATGTTATGTTTAGTGATATTTTGTATTTATATTAATTAAAAATATATAATCACTAAGAAATATAATAAAATAATGAGACATAGAAATATTAATTGAATTTCAACATTTTTTATTACTTATAAGTTATAATTATAAATTACAAATACAAACTTAGAAATTAAGATTAAGAATTATTATACATCTTCATTTTCATTTATTTTTAAATTAATTCTTAAAATTTTCAAATATATCTTTAACAACACGATTTTGAAGCTTGAAATCTGCCGCCACCCAATCTTTCATACACATAATGGCTTCAATAGCACTTTTAAAAAATAACTATTAATTTTATTAATTTTTAATTTTTAATTTTATTTTTTTCCGTGTGTTGCCGTGCCAGCCCACAGGCTTTTTTTAAAGACCCACAGCACGACCATTTTCGTGTCAGGCCGTGCAGTACTTTTTTTCATGTCGTGTCGTGCCAACGGCTCTACCAACTATCATTATATATCTATATTAATTTTTTTTATTTAATTAATAATTACCATCACCAAGATAGATGGTTTTAATGCCTTAAGTACACTTGTAGAAATTTTTAGTAATGTTTTAGCCCGCTACTAATGACAAGGACCAAAATGTAACTGACATGGATCAAAGTGTTACTAAAAGGTTCTACAAGACTAAAGTAACTTAGTCAAACCTAAGGTACAAAATTGTTATTTTCCCGACATTGGGAAACGTGACAAAATTCAGGGGAGCCAAGGAATTTTACCCTTCAATAATATGGGACCCTTTAGCATCCGACGTGGCAATCGGTACACGTGAGACACTCAGACACGAGTGACAACTCCTATTCCCGTTCTCATTCGACATTCAGTAGGAGAGAACAAATTAAAACAAAATCTCGTTCATTCATTAGATCACACAAACCCCAGCGACGCAGCAAAGCTCAGAGCTGAGAAACCCTAGAATCTGAGATCACTCAGATTCGATTCGATTTCGATTTGGATTTTTTGGGGAAAGAATAATAATAATAACGAGAATGGGGAAGAAGAAGAAGAGAGTAGCGTCGAAGGTGTGGTGCTATTACTGCGACCGAGAATTCGACGACGAGAAGATTCTAGTTCAGCACCAGAAGGCTAAGCACTTCAAGTGCCACGTCTGCCACAAGAAGCTCTCTACCGCCGGTGGCATGGCCATTCACGTCCTCCAGGTCCACAAAGAGTCCGTCACCAAGTAATCTTTCTCTCTCCTTTTTTTTTTTTTTTCAATCTAATTATTTTTTAGTTTAATTTTATTTGCCTGGCTCTAGTGTTTGGTTTTAATAGAAGCACGGTTTAAAATCTATATATTTTTTGCTGGAATTTGTACGGAATGATTGCGAAAATTGAGGTAAACTTAACTGGTTTTGAAATTTATTTAAGATTTTGATGAAATCTTCGTGAAATTTTTAGGCATTGGCTGGCTTGCTGAAATACTAGAAAAATTGATTTCACTGGTTTCGTAATTTGTGAAAGCTTTTCAAAAAAGTGAAATTTGTATGTGTTTATTCTGTTTTGCTAATGTTCTCTTGAAATCTAATTTGAAGTTTTGTGAAATTTATGGGAACGGCTTGACTTGATGAAATATGGGCTTGTAAAACTTTATAGAAATCTACTGGAAGGTTTACTGTATTTGTGGGAAATTGCTCGGCTTGCTGAGGTACAAGCAAACTTAACTTCACTTCACTGGTTTCAAAATTGTTAAAAGTTCTATTGACATTATGGATAAGGATACAGATGGCCTTTAAAATTTTTCAGATGCTCTTAAGTTTCATATAATTTGTAGGAAGGAGATTAGTAATAAAGGGTACCTGTATTGAAACCATGATTGAATTCTACCTGTATTGAATGAAAATTATGCATTAATTTTTATTCTATAGAATTTTTGGGTTGATTTTTTTTTTTTTTAATTTTTTTTTTTTTTTTATTGATTAGAGAGAAATAAGTGAATTTGAAACTTGTCTGGTTGGTCCCTGAAATGAAAAGAAGATATCAGTTGTTTTAATTTTTTTGTTCTTAGAGCTTTTATGCTGTTTCTATATAAGATATGTTTGAATTCTTATGATTGTCTTGGAAATGATAATTACTGTAACAGAGTTCCCAATGCGAAAGCTGGAAGAGAGTCAACTGATATTGAAATATATGGAATGCAAGGAATTCCACCGGACGTATTAGCTGCTCACTATGGAGAAGAAGGTGAAGAACCTGTAAATGTGTTATTTGTTAAGTTTTCTGAATTGTTTTTGTGTCATTATGATTTGATTTGTCTGAAAAAATTATCTTATTTCTTTCTTTTGCTTTTGGAGATGTTCTATTATGCTAGGAATTTTGAATTGAAGCACTTGACCAATGAATATTGTTATTCATTAGGTTTTGTTTTGAACTCTTGAGCACTCTGTAAGTCTGGTGTAACATCTTTCCTGTAAGAAGACATAATAGATTGTGCTGGCCTGTATTATTGTATTTGTTGTTCAACTATTGTTATGGTCTTGTTGTAGTTTAGAAGTTAGCAGGAAGGAAAAAGTTTTTATAAGTTGTTTGACCACTAGATCATCCATGGTGCTTGGTTTTTCTTGTGACTCATCCGAATTTACTGCTTTTGTTTCTTTATTTCTTTATTTATTTATTTCTTCTCTCTCTCTCTCAAACATACACATGCTCTCAATGCCTTTTTTTTTTAGTTGTTAGTTAATTTTTTGCATAGTTTATTTATATTCCTCCTGTCCGCTCTATTTATATTAAAACATTTTTGAAACTACAAACTAAACAAGCTGTCTTTTAGAGTATTCCTCATCTTCTATATCTCAACTTTAATATATATACTTTTCCCCCATTTCCTTGCAAAATAAAATATATATTGATTTGATTCTAGTTTATGATAAAAGTGATAGAGAAGTACTTGCTCTGGTGTTTTAAGTGTCTTCTCAGAGTGGTGCTGGGTAAAATTCTGCTGTAGTAAAGTTTGGAGATGCTGCATGTGAAAGTTATTTGTTAAACAAAGCTTCTCTTTCTAACAAATATTAGTTTTCCTGCAGAAGAAGAGGCTCCATCCAAAGTCGCCAAAGTCGACACTCCTTACACTCAGCTAGCTGGAATGGTGCCTGGACAATTGGGTGTCGGCTATCCTCCTCAATCAACTTTAGGGGCGATGCGGCCAATGTATGTTTTCTGTTACATATGTATACTTTTTCCTTTTTCTATATTCTTGCTCAAACACAAACAGCTTAAGGTGATGTAAGTGTCTCAAATGCAATTTTTTTTTTTTTGTAAAAAAAAAAAAGGGTTCTTTAAAGGATATATTTTCCCTAGAATAAGTATTGGTGCATGTGTCTCCTTTGCGTGTGAAGGTCATTACACAGTGTTTAGCCCTCCAGGTTATGGTCCAAGGACCGAGTGTGTGTGTGTGTGTGTATGTATATGTGAAGGAGATGAATATATACCTTTTTTTTTGTTTTTTTGGGAGAGGGGGATTTTAGCTGGAAACAGCCAACTAAATTTGGTGTAAATATTTTGATTCAAAGAAATTTGAGACAGCTTTTTGCAATTATCTGCCACTGCAGGATCTATATTTTCTTTTTCCTTGTTTGAGCTCCTAGGAAAAACAGGAATGTTTCACTTGCTCATTCTGTGTGTTACAGAAATAATGATTAATGTATCATTTTTCTTGCTTGTTGGGCTACAGCTACAGTTCTGCAGTACCAGTGCCTCCTGCTGGTTGGCCAGTGCCTCCTCGCCCACAGCCTTGGTATCCACAGCATCCGGCTGTTTCAATGCCTCCTGCTCCAGCAGGTTATGGCCAACAGCCTTTGTTTCCTGTGCAAAATGTAAGGCCTCCTCTACCATCAAGTACTTCTGCACTTCAGCCATCACAAGTAATTCCTCCTGGAATGCCCTTGTCCACGCAACCTGTTGCCGTATCTCAACCCTTGTTCCCTGTTGTTAATAACAATACACCTACTCAAAGTTCACCATTTTCTGCTCCCATTCCATCAACTACTGTTCCAGTTAGCTCTTCAGCAGAAATTAAAGGCTCAATTGATGCGCATTCAGGTGCCAACTCAACTATGACCAGCAGCTATCATGTCCCAAGCATGCAAGGTAATTGTCTCTACAACAACTAGTATTTCAACAGTAGCTTAATAGGACTGTTTTACTGTCTTAAATTTAGGATTGTTGTTATCAAATCCATTCTAAATATCAACTTTTTCGATGTTTTTTATCCTTGCAATTGCAATGCTGTTTCCAAAAAGCACAGCATCTGTCCCATCATAAAGTAATTTAGTTGATTTTATCTGATATTATTTGTACATTTTGTCATCTTTGCAGGTGGGACATTATCCAATTCACATTCTTATGCCTCCGGCCCCAACACTGGTGGTCCTTCAATTGGACCACCCCCTGTAATAGCAAATAAAGGTCCTCCTACTCAGCCAGCCGTTAATGAGGTCTATCTTGTTTGGGATGATGAGGCAATGTCCATGGTTAGTTGTTCTGAAGATGCACATTTTTATATGGCTGTTTCTAATGTTATTGCAGACTTGTTAATCCTGGTTATAATTTGAAATGTATACAGGAGGAGAGAAGAATGTCCTTAGCAAAGTATCAGGTGCATGATGAAACTAGCCAGGTAAGTGATAACTACCTTTTTAATCTATGGAGTTGGTTTGTACATCTAACCAGATGGATAGGCTTTATGTTTCGTGCTTTCAGATTACGCATTGTTACCTATTTAGAGAGGTATTTCCTATATGAATTCCAGTTTTTATGTTTTCTTCCTTACAAAAATAAACACATTTTGCAAAGAAATATGAACCTTTAGTCAATTCTTTTTTGCTCCAACTATTGGATAATGGGCATGTTGTTTATTTTAAACTGCCATGCTCCGGTTTGCACGCAATGCCTCCAACTGTTGTGGGCGTCAAAAGATTCAAGTAGGTATTTGCATTATTTTTGCTGGTACTTAGTAGTTATAATTTTCACAAAGCTTGCTGGAAATGAATTGAGGATTCTTCGTTCTAACACTCTACTTAATTATAAGAAAAATAGCTTATGTACTTGCCCTCTTAAAATTTGGATTAATTCTGTTTTAATTCATTCTCCCTATGCTTGATTCCCAAAACGTTTGGGGGGTTTGGGTCGAACAAGATCACATCCCACAGAAATTTCCATTTGTAGCATCGTTACAATTTATTTATATGATCGAACAGTGAATTCAGACTTGGCCCAGGTCAGCTTCTTTCGCAGAGTTTGGTATCTCTTGCATAGGACCAAGCTTTAAGATATCTGGTCATTCCTATCAATTGGGCCACAGTTCCTCTCTGATCATGTTATGTGTGTTTGCGTTTCAGATGAGCTCAATCGATGCAGCAATAGACAGAAGGATATCGGAAAGCAGGCTTGCTGGCAGAATGGCGTTTTAGAGCAACTGGACGTGAGGCTATGAACCCTTGTTGGATCGGTGGATGAATAGATAAGCTTCTGTGTATAATGGAATAGAAATTTCGAAGAAGAGGAGCGTCGATAGATTTTAGTCGTCATTCATTCTTTATCGGGGTCTTACAAAAGCGCAGAATTTAGATGTGTTGTATTTTTTGTTATTATTATTATTACTATTATTGTTGTTATTGCAAGAAAGATAGATAAAAAGAGCCATTGGTTGTTAATCATGTTCTCAAGAGTTACATCTTTTTCTTCTTTAATTTATTTGTTTATGAATTCATAAACCTGTTATGATATAATTTTGGTTCTAATTTTAGAAGAATTCACAAATTATTAAAAATAATAAATACAGGGATTGCCGTGAAAGGGCTTGTTTGGTGGTTAAAAACTCTTTCTAAATGACTAACAGGAAAAAAGGATTCCGTATAAGTATTTTTTTTTGTTTTTGGGTAAAGTACACTCGCAGGCAACCCATTTGTCCATTTGCTAATTTATAAATCATGGTTAATAACAATAATCTTCTTATATATAATTAAATATAAAAAATTTAAATCTTAAAAATATTTAAATTAGTCAACGCCGATCAAAGTCGTCGGTTTTTCATCGCCACGCGTGCCAACAAAAGGCCGACAATCTCATCACCCTCTGTTCATCCATGGTTTCCATTATGGCCATTGTTAATTTATCATCAATATTTGCAACTTGCCTTATAAAAGTATCTCAATTCTTGTAGAACTTGAAGGACTAGAAATCGGTGAAAATATTGGGTAACTGGAAAATAAACAGCGATTCAAATAACTTGAGTGGCACCGTGGATTTAGACAAAAATTCTTGTAGAACTTGAAGGTTTATTGTTTCTCTTGAATTCGAGTCTCTACGGTTACTAATAGGAGTGATCATTAGAGTTTTTATCTGATTGATAATTCCAATGTCTGGGGAATAGTTGAGGTGTGTGTAAAATGTCACCAGGATGATCATAAAATGTGGACATATATACATTGAGATCCTTGAACCTTTCTCACATTTCACTAACAATCTGTTGCTCTTCTATGTACCAAAACCTTAGGTACAATAATTTACAAGGTTCACTCCCAGTTCCATCCGTCGCTATTTTTCACCACCTAGTTTCAAACGACAACGTGACAGGCATCTTCGAGCTCTTGATGTGGCTTCCAATAAGTTGAGTGGTGTGCTTCCACAATGTTTGGGCAATTTCACTTTTAAACTAACAATGTTGGTATTGGGAATCAACATGAATTCCGAGATCATTTTACGAGAATGCTGGAGATAACCAACTCACTGATACCTTTTCCTCTTGGTTAAGAACTCTTACAAATTTAAAGGTTCTCATTTTGCAATCCAACAGATTTTATGGTGTAATCAGGGAACCTGAAACAAATTTTGAGTTTCCTAGATTACCCATCATTGACGTCTCTCACAATCGATTTACAGGACAGTTTCCATCAAAATATTTCTTTGGTCGCATCCCTTAATCTTTTGCCAACCTGACAGCATTGGAATCATTAGACCTCTCTAACAACAGGTTCTCGGGAACAATTACGGAGAACGACTTATACATACCCAAGTTTTTTCGAAATGACAAGTTGGTATCCAAAAGGTTTTAAAACGACAAATAGGTACCTGCCGTCATGTTCTGTTAGTGATTTTTGTTTGATGATAGTGAAAAGACTAAAATGCCCTTGAAAGTTTAATATTTTAGTTTTTTATAAATTTCTAAAAAAACCCCTACGTTTGTTAATTTGACTAAATACCCCAATATATAAAAATTTTATAAAATAACAAAAACACCCCGCCACCGCCACCCCTATCGCAGTCCAGATTCCACACCACTGCCGGAATCTGGCCCGAAAATTGTGTTACGACACAGACTCGTCGGATCTGTGTCGTAACGCGTCGATCTGGCCTTTTCCGGTCAGATTCGCCACGGATCTGACCGGAAAAGGCTAGATCTACATCTGACCTTTTTCGGCTGTGGAGGATCTAGCCAGAAAAGGCCAGATCTACGTCTGGCCTTTTTCGGCCTTGACGACCAGATCTGGCCTTTTCTGGCTAGATCCTCCACAGATCTGGCCAGAAAATGCCAGATAGACGTGTTACGACACAGATCCGATGGGTCTGTGTCATAAAACAATTTTCTGGCAAGATTCCGACCTCGACGGCCAGATCTGGCCTTTTCTGGCCAGATCAGCCACGGATCTTGCCGGAAAATGCCAAATCTACGCGTTATGACATAGATCTAATGGGTCTGCGTCGTAACGCAATTTTTCGGCTAGATTCCGGTAGTGGTGGCCGGAATCTGGCACTGCGGTGGCGATGGCGGTGGCGGGGGTGTTTTTGTTATTTTATAAAAAATTTATATATTGGGGTATTTAGTCAAATTAGCAAACATAGGGGGTTTTTTATAAATTTATAAAAAACTAAAATATTAAACTTTCAAGGGCATTTTAGTCTTTTCACTATTATCAAACGAAAATCACTAACAAAACATGACGGAAGGTATCTATTTATCGTTTCAAAACCTTTTGGATACCAACTTGTCGTTTTGACAAACCTTGGGTATGCGTAAGTCGTTTGGCCGGAACAATTACTCGAAACTTAGCAAGCCTTGCAGCGCTTTCCTTTTTCAATGTCTCCCACAACCTTCTCATAGGTCTTATACCACCAGGAACACAATTTGATACATTTCCTCACAGCTCCTTTGATGGGAACCCTGGATTATGTGGAAAATATGTATCAAGAAATTGTAGTTTCGAAATAGATCCTACAGATGATGAAGAAGATCAAGGCACTCATTCATAGATAACCCGATGGTTTAGACAAATTAAAGATAGTGTGTATAGACACATGTTCTCAAATTCGATTTCCCATTTGAGTATCTCGATTTTAGTGGTGTTGTGGCCGTGGGTTACTGCTCTAGTCTCTAAGAGAATTAATCCAGTGGTAATTATTCATAACATACACAATATTCAATGTTGCTCTATCCATCAAAAAATTGTAACATAAATCTCATCTTTAAGTTAATAACAATTGATCCAATATAATCTAATAATTTAAAAGTTGATAACTTAATACTAAATGTGACTAGTTCTTTAATTTTTCCCTCGAGTCTATTGAATTGCACTAAATAAATGGTAAAAATTTGTTGTATTAAGTTGAAACATTTATTGTTAAAACTTAATCTGATGGAAAAAAATTTATATTAAAGAAAAAAACTATATTTATTAACAATCGTCCTGATATTTTAAAAGACAAAATTATCAAAATTTTGTTTAAAAAGATTAAAATAATCATAAAATCATACCTTAAAGCCTAAAACCCTTTTATCATCGGTAATGAAAAATATTAAAGAGTCTAATGTTTACGAAAAAAAACGATATACGTAGTTTAAACATTATCAGATTATTTTTGTTCTAATAAAGTTGTCTTAAATAATTTTATGATTATTTTTATCTTTAAAAAAAAAAATTAATTTTTTTTATTGGTGAAGTATTGAGATGGTTACATGATTTAATTATTTTTTAATTTTTAAAACAAACGATTTTTTATTTAATACCTTCTTTGCTTTTGAGGATCTTTTCGTAATTTCCCTTGAAAAGTATTTTCATTCGCATTTTTGTTTAAACCAAACAAGCCCTTAAAACCCACCCGTAAAGCCCCAACCCGAGCCCATCTCTCTGTCTGCAATTTTTTTTTCTCTAAACCCCAAAACCCTCCCTTCTCTCGCTGAATTGACGTTCATCTTCATCCCAATTGACCTCCTGCAACAAGCATAAAACCCTTTCAAATGAAAGCTTTGAGAGCTTTAAGAACACTCTCAACCTTCCCAACAAAACCCCACCGAAACCCCACCTTTCTCCACCGCCTCTACACCGCCCAGCCTCAGCAAACGCTCAATGAAACTGAAGGTGATTCAGTTTTTGACAGTTCCGATTATGCAATACCGAGCCTGGACGATACCCACAGCGCTGAGAAGAAAGAACCCACTTGGGATGAGAAGTTCAGGGAGAGAGCTGATAAAGTAGTGTTTGGGAAAGGTACCCAGAAGGCGAAAGTTAGAATTTTTCAGGAAGATGAAGATGAGAGGAAGAATAGAACTCTTGCTAGGGCTCTACTTGAGGCTGCTTTAGTGAGAGAAGAGGAAGAAGATGAAGAGGTTAAAGAGGAGGATCAGAGGTCACTCTCTGTTGGGATTATTGGAGCTCCTAATGCCGGAAAATCTGCTCTTACTAATTTCATGGTTTGTGTTGTTCTTGTTTATTGGTTTTTATGTTTTGTTGTTTTTTAGTAGTGCGTTTGTTTAGTTTTTTAATTTGGTGAAGTGGGGTTGTGAAATTTTGATTTTTGTACTGGTTTTTGAGTGATTGGCTGTTCTGAGTTTTTAAGTGTATTGTAGTTTGAGTACCATGTAGTGAAATTAATTTGATTGGGAGTATTGAATTTGGGTAGAGATGCTCCCCCTGTGTGCTTGCATATACATATTTTGTATTGACTTTTAGAGTTAGGATTATTAAGAGTTTTGACTGGAACCTTTTATGACCAGACGATTTGTTTGACAATGTCATGTGCTGATATGTACTATTTTGTTTAATTCTGGAAAGTCTGTGCTTTCTAGTTACATGATTTGCTTTCTTGTTTGTTTCTTTTGCTGTTTTGGATTTGTGGTTTGTTGAATTTTATAATATGCTGATAAGGATTTCGTGAAATTTGGTTTTGGTGCTAGTTTTTGGATGATTGGTTGTTGGAGAATTAAAGTTTGTGTTATAGTTTGAGCTATATGTATGAAAATGCGTTTAGTTGGGATTTTGGTTTTCAGTAAAGATGCTTCCTCTTGTCCTTGCATATAACATGTTTTGTATAGATTGTTAGAATTAGTATTATTAAGAGTTGTAGTGGAGTCTTTATGATCAGCATTTTCATTTGATGACGATTTGTGATGATATGTTATACATTGATTACGCTTGTTATAGGTGGGGACAAAGGTCGCCGCTGTTTCACGGAAGACAAACACAACAACTCATGAAGTGTTAGGAGTAATGACCAAGGGGAATGCCCAAATTGTACGTTTGTCTATTATACTAATTTATTTGGTTCACCTTTTATTTGAGTTGTGTTGCTTGTCTGTATTTTATTGTGAGACAATGGATATCATCAAATATGGGTAAAATATCTGTAGTTTGGTTAAATTATGAAGATCAGGTTTTTTTTTTTTAAAACAAAAAGGAATCCATGTAGTGTTACATATTTTTTCAGATCGAGGAGAAACAGAACTTCTAGTACTTCAGTTGTTTGATCTTTTAATAAGATAAACAAAAGATTACTCTTCAATCTTTTCACTTTCTCCCTCTTGAAGCACTCTGAATTGAGTTAGAATATTCAAATATTTGATTTCTCTGTCATTTTAATGGTTCAGAACAAGCTAATACGTGATGGAATTACGTTTTCTCATAATTTTTGTTTCTGCTGTCTGGGAACGTATTGTATTAATTACATCTATGTGCTATAGTGCTTTTTCGATACCCCGGGACTTATGTTGAAGAAAAGTGGGCTTCCTTACAAAGATATAAAGGTTCGCTTGGAAAGTGCTTGGAGCTCAGTTGATCTATTTGAGGTGCTCATGGTTGTTTTTGATGTCCATAGACATCTCACCAAGTGAGTGATCTGTTGCAATTTAGTTTTATTGATTTAAATTTCCTTGCAATTTTCCTTATTGCCAGCTCTTTGGTTTGAGTAATGCTTTTTTTCTTCTGGCTTAATTTTCCTGTAAATTCTATGGTTTTTTTTTTTCTCACTTTGATCACTGATCACATGAGCATTTTTATTTTCATGCATATAGGCCTGATTCAAGGGTTGTAAAATTAATTGACCGTATGGGTGCCCAAGCTCATGCAAAACAGAAGCGGATTTTATGTATGAATAAGGTTGATTTAGTTGCAAAGAAAAAAGACTTACTAAAAGTTGCTGAGCAATTCAAAGATCTTCCTGGGTATGAAAGGTAGGGTTACTGTTGGACATAAAAGGTTCTGTTCCCGTTTTAAAATGTTGAGCAGGGATAAATATTATGGTCACTTATTTGTATCATTTATGTTCCAGGATTTTCATGACCTCCGGACTGAAGGGTGCTGGAATAAAAGATCTTTCCCAATATTTGACTGATCAGGCATGTTCATCATTGTTATTTCACATTTGTGATACGTGTGTGCATGTGTTATGTTTGTAGAAAATTTCTTTAATGTGGGATTTTGTGGTCTAAATATTCTGAAGTTCCAATACAGTAAAGGTCTAGCTGGTCAATATAATGCAGTTTCTTTAAAACTTTTTCTGTATCTTTGTCTAGTTTATAACGTTCTAAAATGAACACATTTTGGAATTTGCTGTCATGCTATGAGAACTTTCCTCTTCTTTCATTATTACGATTTTTACTGTTTCCTATCAAAAAGAGTTGTTCAATGAGTATCAATTTTCTGGATAAATAATTTCTTTCCTGTATTCTCTTATTTCTCTTTTTTCAAGTACTCGGGGGACATTTTTAATTCGTAACGTATTAGAAATGTTTGTTAAAGGAAATGAATTCATTATTAATTTGAATTTTATAGATCTATTCTTTGCCACTTTTATCTAAAGTATGAAGTGGGTTAATCTCTTTGGAAAACCTAAACTAAGTTGATGATGTCATGGTTTTTATTTTATTTTACTCAAAGTCATGCTTCTCACTCTGGCTCTTCAATGGCTTTTTATACTTAGGCAGTTCAAAGACCTTGGTCTGAAGATCCACTAACTATGAGTGAAGAAGTTATGAAGAACATTTCATTGGAAGTTGTACGGGAAAGGTTATTGGACCACATACATCAGGTAGAGCAGATTCTCCTTCTGGAGCAAATACCTTTATGAATGAGAGGTGGAGAGCTGCAGGGGAATTTTTTTAAGCCACTAAATTAGGGGTCTGTTTCATTGCAGGAAATCCCCTATGGTCTTGAACATCGGTTGATAGACTGGAAGGACTTGCGAGATGGTTCTCTCAGGATCGAACAGCACCTTATTACCAACAAGCTAAGCCAGCGAAAGATTCTTGTGGGGAAGAACGGCTCTAAAATTGGGTAATGTGCTCAATCTTCATTTTCTAATTTTATGACTTCATAATTTTGCTGACGACTATTCTGATTTTCGAGTAACAGACTACCTGTTTATTATCTTAATGTGAATATATCTTTTATCAGTCCTCAATTTCTTAATTATTATTGGGAATTCTAGCTGAAAAAAAAAAAAAAAATATATGATTTGGACCTTGAATGAATCTGACAAAATTGCTATTTTCTTCAATCGATATGCTATAGACTTGTCTCAATAACTAGAATTAGGTCTTGGCGGTCTTGTGTGCAGCTGTTAATGTCGAGAAGCAGAATGTCTAGGTGTTTGATATATTCTTCTTCAGGCTTTACTCCAATTATAGTTCAGAACTGTATATTGATGTACTCTTGTCATTTTGTTTCCAAGTTTCCTTGCTATTTTGATTTTCAGAATGCTAAGAAGCATCTATTTTCAAATAATTTTATGAAGTTAAATCTCACTTGAAGGAGATGCATGCTATTTGTCAATACAGGAGAATCGGCATCGAAGCTAATGAAGAGCTACGGTCCATCTTCAAGAGACAAGTACATCTAATTCTCCAGGTCAGACTCAAGTGATGTGCTCAACAAATATAATCAATCATCAAGAAATGCTCTTATCTCCAACTGTACCATCTGGATGTGTATATATACAGAGCCCCATAAGGTACACTTGTACCCGTGATCTTCTCATTTTGTTTCCTTATGAAAAAGCATCTAGAATAGGAGCTTTCACTGGCAATGGTTATCGGGGTAACAAATGATCGAAGAGCTCCGTATCTTCAGAGAAAATCCCCGATTGTTTTCTTCTGGATTATGTTTATCTTGCAAAATTTTGTTAAGATGGATTGCTTACCCTTTTTTATCTGGATCCACTCTGATATTTACATATTCTGTATTCATGTACAACTGGGATGACCTTATTCATGAGAAATATTATATTAATTTGTTACCAAAATAACTATCTGATATTTACAACCCAAATTCTTTCTTCCTCTCTTGATTATTAGAAAAATTATTAAATCCCTTGCAAAAGCATTAAAAAACCTCTTTAATTGTGGATATATTTTAAATTAACCGCTTAATCGATACATTGGGATACATTCTCGTCTAGCCGAGGATATTGTCTATTTTAGGTTTAGGCAAGTTTGCACGAAATTTTTTGGATTTCACGTAAACGATTTTCACTTACAATGTGTTTGTATAGTTATGATCAAGCCTTAAAAACTAGTTCTCATTTGCAACATGATTTGTGATATACATAGTAATATGTGGGTTGTATAATGAAATAGAAGTTTTGAATAATGCTACTATAAATTAAAATAAGGATTTTGAATAATGCTACTAACTTTTGGCCTATTTATAGTAGTCATTTGATCATTTTTATTCTATACTAATGAGATAGGATAATGTTGAGTGACACCCATTCGTGGGTAACTTAGATTATTAGGGCAAACTGGGGATAATGTGGATATATGCACGGTCTTATATTTAATTCATCATCTGAGCATCTGCAATTTAAGTGTTAGTCTTATCCAAAGATTAGTCGAGTTAATTACTCTCGAGAATTAGTCGAGATGTATGTAAACTGATCTTTAAGAAAATAATAATAATGTTTATTGCCTAAAAGTTTTGAATAATTATTCTTGTTACTAATCATATTATCATGTTTATAAAATCATTAAAAGTTATATTAACATGTCCATAAATTTGACCTTATAATATACAAGTGTATATATTTATATTATATATTTTTTTTAAAGAAGAAAATAAATTCATTCCAACATATCCTCACTGGATTTATAACAAAATTTCTTAATATTGTGGATATTGGAATATCATATTATATTTGAGATAACAACATTAAATTAAAAAAAAAAAAAAAAGGAACTCTAGTATCATAGATAACAAAGGCTGAGTACAAAAGGAAACAAGAGCAACCACACAAAATTTAAAAAACAAAAAAAGCTACAACCACCACAATTAATTAATTTCAACTAGAAATTAATTAATTAATTCTAAATTAAACATAATTTAATCTACTAATTAATTATTAATTAACCACCAAAGGACTGAAATGGAAGTGCCAACTGATCAAGCAGTCCAGTCACTGGAGTTGCGAGTCTCGGCTCATAAGCAAAGCCATGCAACTCACCTTCCCCTCCATAACCACCGTTGCCGCCGCAGCCACCGTGGAGATAAGGACACGGAGGCACCCACTGCCACCTCTTCATAGAAATATCAAACAGTAAGGCCCTACTGGACCCTTTAATCACAAGCACAATGAAATCCCCATGGCCAACGGTATCGAATCCGTTGCTGCTTTCCATCTCCGCAAACTGAGCATAAAGTTGCTGCGGCATCCTCTCGATTTCGACCCACGTCGAGCCGCAGCCCTGCAGGGACCACAGCCGCAGGCTCTTTGGCACATTCAGCTTGCTCTTCTCCACCGCCGCCACGAGGATCAGTTTCCCCCGGCTCTCCAGCAGGCTCGGCGAACGCAGAAACCTCCTCATTGGAGCTTGAATGTTGAACCAAGAATTCACAGAAACGTCATACGCAAGCACACTGAAAGGACCGTAATTCATGCAGTAAAATTTTCCATTAACATGAACCATGCGGCCGGATTCGAGGTTACAGAGGCGTGGAAGAGACGAAGTGGTTCCCCAGAGAGAGTAAAACCCGCCTGCGTCGATGTGAAAGCTTTCGGTGGACAAGTTCTTTACTGCATACGGAGAGATCAAGTCGTCTCCCGCAACCGCCACATCAATGGAAGTCCGGCTAACTTTCACCCCAATTGAAGGGAAGAGACGTGGCCTTAACGTGGGAGGCAACTGGCTGAGCGAACCGGTGAGTGGGTTGCAAAGAATGAGACTTTTGGCACCGGCCTCGTCGGAAACCCAACAAAGGAGTCCTCCAGAAGAGCACGCTGGAGAGAACCCGGAAGGGAGAAAGGCAAAAGAAACTCTATACCACGCAATCTCATGTGGATCAAAGAGATACCCTTCAAGAGTAGTGGCTCTATTGTCATCACCATTGCCACCGCCATTTGTATTGCTTCTGTAGAAGAAGCTCTTGGCGGTTTTGTGTTTGAAGAAAAGGAACCAGTTGTGCTGAGGTGAAACCTGGATGTAAAGTTCAAGAAAGCTATTGGAAAACAAGAGCCCATACCATCTTTTACACACGGCACGGGTTCTAAAGAACGCCGGTGGTGGAAGAAAAGCGAGCACGCGATCGAGTAGCCTCTGCGGAAGCTTACTCCAAATCCTGGCGTCCATCCAGAGACTGGTTATGGCGAAGTGGCCGGTATTAGAACCGGTGCTGCTACCACTAGTGAAAGTGTAGGAGAAGGGTAACGCCATAGAAGGGTTAAAAGCTTCCATTAAACTTGCTTGAAACTCAACAGAAAGAAAGAAAGACAAATTTTTTAGGTCATTTTGAAAGTTTCATGGCTAGGTTGAAGAAGAGGTGTGTGTTTTTAGGGTTTTATTTTGTGTTTGGTGGAGGATATATGTATATGTATTTATACAGGAACGTCAAGACACTTGGGACAATTTTTTTTTTTTTTTGGATTTTTAATTGATTTTGTTGGTTTCCTTTTGTGAAGGAGAAGCTGAGCTAGAAGAAGGCAGCGGACTGTGATGGATTCATCTATCAAATCAGCGTTTTCTTGTCAAGGCCGAGGAAGAGAGGAGGACAGGATGCAAAGTGAGACAATTATGTAGCTTATGGAGAGAGAGAGAGAGAGAGAGAGAGAGAAGAGATAGAGTTCAAAAGAAAAGTATCAGCCACGAGTGTCCTTTCTTCTGATTCTGATTATATAAATATAATATTCATTAATTCTTGAATCTTCCTTCTCCCATCTTTAGCACACTCTCACAAGAACAAATGTTTAATCTGCCGGTCATTTCGAGTCATCGCAACAAAATCTGAACAAGTCTTTTTTTTATGTTTTAATAATCTGACTCATACTTGAGCTGGATATAAACTTCTAATTATATTGATACTTAATAAAAATGATAAAAATTGGATTTCCAATGAGAGAAAAACTTAACCCATCTCGGCTTTTGGTTCAATATCTGTAAAGGTTTTAACCTTTCAAACAATAGAAAATACCCTCATCAAACTAACAATCGTTGATCAATTTTAACCCTTAAACAATGTTTTTTACACAGAATAAGTGAATTATCGGTTTTTTCTTTACATATATGAATGAATTATCTATTCAACTCTTATATGGGTTAATGTCTATAGAGTTATGGAGGTTTATCCTAATAGTTTAAATTGCAAGATTTGAACAATACACAACCCAAACCCTAGAGGGTAAATGCAATTATCTCTCACACATATGCATTAAAATTGAAAAGAGTATAAAAAATATATCCTAAAGGTGCGTTTGGTTCAGAGAATGTTGAATTACTAGAAATATTAGATTATTGGAAAGTTATATTACCTAAAGATTATTGGGAATCTTTAGGAAAATTTGTTTGATTAGTTTGAATAAATTGATGAGTATGTTTTATTAATATGTTTGATTGGGAGGAATAAATCATTGGATATGTTATTTAAATTATTGAATTATCCTCTAATTAAATATTATTATTTAATACTGTTATTTAGATTATTATATAACCCCTCTACATTTAAAAACTTAGCAAAGACAATCCCATAATAAAAGTTTAGAAAATCAACAATGTACCCCCCCAATCTAGCCACTGTCGGTCGCTAGCAACCATCGCTTTCTGCTGGCAGCCGACAACCTAACGGCGCACGGAATGTAGGAAATGGCCTCCGTGCACCGTATGGCCATTTCCGGCCAGAGCCAGATCGTGACAAATTTGACCAAAAAGGGAGGTCATTAACGGCCATAGCTCTGGCCATTTTCGGCCCGATATCTGGCCGAAAATGGCCATATCAGCGCACAGCAGCCACTTTCGGCCTTTGATGCACCGTTCCGACGGCTAGCTATCGGTGGTGGCAGGTTTGTGGGGGTGGTGGCTTGGGTGGGCTACAATTTATTTTGAATTCAAGAGTAATTTTTTCAAAAAATTTAATTAATTTTGGTAAAATAATAAAAGTCATATTCATGTAAATTAATTTAAAAATAAGGGTATTATTATCCTAATATTTTAGTAAAGGATAAAATTATAATAAAAAAAAGATTACCTTGCAATACCGAAAAAAATTGAGGTAATCAGATTTCCTCCAATATTACTAAAAGTAACTACTATTAGTATTTGAAGATTATCGAAATCTTATATTATTTGACAACCAAACGTAATAATTAAGTAATATAAAATGACATAACCCTAGTAATCTCACATAACCCCCAACCAAACACCCTCTAAAAGTATTTTGATTCGCTAAAAGTTTGAATGATTGAAGTTTTGATTATTATGCAATATTGGACAATTGTATATTATATAAAAGTTCTATGTTTTTGGTTTATAAGTTTTATACCGTGTATTCGCAGAATTCACGTTGATGTATTGATACAGTATTGGACTTTAACAAGACTTGAATCATCATATATAAAATAATCAAGTAATTTTTTACCAATTTATACAGTAAATCAAATTTTCTCTTAAGTCGTATCATTATATTAATATTATATTGTATCTTGCTTTCTTTTTCATCAAACCCTAGGCATGATATTTTTCTTATTACCTTCAACTTGAATCAAATCTTTCTCATAATTGCTGCTTTTTGAGTTTCAGAGTTTGTAGATATGCGCGCTTTTGATTATACTAAACACATTCAGATATAATTTGTATTCTATATCTGACACTAGTTTAAACGTAATTGTTACAAATGTAATATTTTATGTTATTAATTATATAAAAACATTAGTGATTTTGTGCTTCTAAAATCCCTTGAAACCGATATCTGCCTTTGAGATTTAACTAATACTCTCTCCCTGGAAATGTGAAATTTTCAGATTCTACCTTCGAGATTCAACTACTACTCAAATACATGGCATTTTTGCAGGAAATCATCAGAAATGACTCTAAAACTCTATCTTCATCTTAAAAAAAGTTAACCTTCAAGAATATTTTAATCATTTAATTTGACATATTGTATAAAAATAAGTGAGGGTAAATATTCATAAGTTTACATAAACTTGGCTGTCGAAATTAAACATAATTTAATCTACTAATTAATTATTAATTAACCACCAAAGGACTGAAATGGAAGTGCCAACTGATCAAGCAGTCCAGTCACTGGAGTTGCGAGTCTCGGCTCATAAGCAAAGGCATGCAACTCACCTTCCCCTCCATAACCACCGTTGCCGCCGCAGCCACCGTGGAGATAAGGACACGGAGGCACCCACTGCCACCTCTTCATAGAAATATCAAACAGTAAGGCCCTACTGGACCCTTTAATCACAAGCACAATGAAATCCCCATGGCCAACGGTATCGAATCCGTTGCTGCTTTCCATCTCCGCAAACTGAGCATAAAGTTGCTGCGGCATCCTCTCGATTTCGACCCACGTCGAGCCGCAGCCCTGCAGGGACCACAGCCGCAGGCTCTTTGGCACATTCAGCTTGCTCTTCTCCACCGCCGCCACGAGGATCAGTTTCCCCCGGCTCTCCAGCAGGCTCGGCGAACGCAGAAACCTCCTCATTGGAGCTTGAATGTTGAACCAAGAATTCACAGAAACGTCATACGCAAGCACACTGAAAGGACCGTAATTCATGCAGTAAAATTTTCCATTAACATGAACCATGCGGCCGGATTCGAGGTTACAGAGGCGTGGAAGAGACGAAGTGGTTCCCCAGAGAGAGTAAAACCCGCCTGCGTCGATGTGAAAGCTTTCGGTGGACAAGTTCTTTACTGCATACGGAGAGATCAAGTCGTCTCCCGCAACCGCCACATCAATGGAAGTCCGGCTAACTTTCACCCCAATTGAAGGGAAGAGACGTGGCCTTAACGTGGGAGGCAACTGGCTGAGCGAACCGGTGAGTGGGTTGCAAAGAATGAGACTTTTGGCACCGGCCTCGTCGGAAACCCAACAAAGGAGTCCTCCAGAAGAGCACGCTGGAGAGAACCCGGAAGGGAGAAAGGCAAAAGAAACTCTATACCACGCAATCTCATGTGGATCAAAGAGATACCCTTCAAGAGTAGTGGCTCTATTGTCATCACCATTGCCACCGCCATTTGTATTGCTTCTGTAGAAGAAGCTCTTGGCGGTTTTGTGTTTGAAGAAAAGGAACCAGTTGTGCTGAGGTGAAACCTGGATGTAAAGTTCAAGAAAGCTATTGGAAAACAAGAGCCCATACCATCTTTTACACACGGCACGGGTTCTAAAGAACGCCGGTGGTGGAAGAAAAGCGAGCACGCGATCGAGTAGCCTCTGCGGAAGCTTACTCCAAATCCTGGCGTCCATCCAGAGACTGGTTATGGCGAAGTGGCCGGTATTAGAACCGGTGCTGCTACCACTAGTGAAAGTGTAGGAGAAGGGTAACGCCATAGAAGGGTTAAAAGCTTCCATTAAACTTGCTTGAAACTCAACAGAAAGAAAGAAAGACAAATTTTTTAGGTCATTTTGAAAGTTTCATGGCTAGGTTGAAGAAGAGGTGTGTGTTTTTAGGGTTTTATTTTGTGTTTGGTGGAGGATATATGTATATGTATTTATACAGGAACGTCAAGACACTTGGGACAATTTTTTTTTTTTTTTGGATTTTTAATTGATTTTGTTGGTTTCCTTTTGTGAAGGAGAAGCTGAGCTAGAAGAAGGCAGCGGACTGTGATGGATTCATCTATCAAATCAGCGTTTTCTTGTCAAGGCCGAGGAAGAGAGGAGGACAGGATGCAAAGTGAGACAATTATGTAGCTTATGGAGAGAGAGAGAGAGAGAGAGAGAGAGAAGAGATAGAGTTCAAAAGAAAAGTATCAGCCACGAGTGTCCTTTCTTCTGATTCTGATTATATAAATATAATATTCATTAATTCTTGAATCTTCCTTCTCCCATCTTTAGCACACTCTCACAAGAACAAATGTTTAATCTGCCGGTCATTTCGAGTCATCGCAACAAAATCTGAACAAGTCTTTTTTTTATGTTTTAATAATCTGACTCATACTTGAGCTGGATATAAACTTCTAATTATATTGATATTTAATAAAAATGATAAAAATTGGATTTCCAATGAGAGAAAAACTTAACCCATCTCGGCTTTTGGTTCAATATTTGTAAAGGTTTTAACCTTTCAAACAATAGAAAATACCCTCATCAAACTAACAATCGTTGATCAATTTTAACCCTTAAACAATGTTTTTTACACAAAATAAGTGAATCATCGGTTTTTTCTTTAACATATATGAATGAATTATCTATTCAACTCTTATAAGGGTTAATGTCTATAGAGTTATGGAGGTTTATCCTAATAGTTTAAATTGCAAGATTTGAACAATACACAACCCAAACCCTGGAGGGTAAATGCAATTATCTCTCACACATATGCATTAAAATTGAGAAGAGTATAAAAAATATATCCTAAGGGTGCGTTTGGTTCAGAGAATGTTGGATTACTAGAAATGGATTATTGGAAAGTTAGATTACTTAAAGATTACTATGAATATTTAGGAAAATGTGTTTAATTAGTTTGAATAAATTGATGGGTAAGTTTTATTAATACGTTTGGTTAGGAGAAATAAATTAGTGAGTATGTTATTGAAATTACTGAATTGTCCTCTAATTAAATATTATTATTATATATTGTTATTTAGATTATTATTTGGATTATTATAACCCCCTATATTTAAAAACTTAGCAAAAACAATCCCATAATAAAAGTTTGAAAAATCAACAAAGCACCCCCCCAACCAAGCCACTGTCGGCCGCCGACAACCACCGCCTGTTGCCGACAACCTAGCGGCGCACGGAATGCAGGAAATGGCCTCTGTGCACTGTATGGTCATTTCCAGCCAGAGCCAGATCGTGACAAATTTGGCCGAAAAACGAGGTCGTTAACGGCCATAGATCTGGCCATTGACGGTCAGATCTATCACGATCTGGCCATTTTCTGCCAGATATCTGGCCGAAAATGGCCATATCAGCTCACAGCAACCATTTCTGGCCTTTGATGCGTCGTTCTGGCGGCAGTGGTGGCTAGCCGTCGGCGGTGGCAGGTGGGTGGGGGTGGTGGCTTGGGTGGGATGCAATTTGTTTTGAATTCAAGAGTAATTTTTTTCAAAAAGTTAATTAATTTGGGTGAAATAGTAGAACTCATATTCATGTAAATTAATTTAAAAATAAGGGTATTATTGTCCTAATATTTTAGTAAAGGATAAAATTGTAACAGAAAAAAAGATTACCTTAGTAATCTTACAATATTTAAAAAATTGGAAATAATCAGATTACCTCCAATATTACTAACAGTAACTACTGTTGGTATTTAAAAATTATCAGAATTTTATATTACTTGACAACCAAATATAATAATAAAATAATATAAGATGACATAGCCCCAATAATCTCATATAACCCCCAATCAAACACCCTCTAAAAGTATTTTGATTCGTTAAAAGTTTGAATGATTGAAGTTTTGATTATTATACAATATTGGACAATTGTACATTTTATAAAAGTTTTATGTTTTTGGTTTATAAGTTTTATACCGTGTATTCACAGAATTCACATTGATGTATTGATACAGTATTGGACTTTAACAAACTTGAATCATCATATATAAAATAATCAAGTAATTTTTTACCAATTTATAAAGTATATCAAATTTTCTCTTAAGTCGTATCATTATATTAAAGCACACAATTACCTATATTATATAGTACCTTGCTTTCTTTTTCATCAAACCCTAGGCATGATATTTTTCTTATTACCTTCAACTTGAATCAAATCTTTCTCATAATTGCTGCTTTTTGAGTTTCAGAGTTTGTAGATATGCGCGCTTTTGATTATACTAAACACATTCAGATATAATTTGTATTCTATATCTGCCACTAGTTTAAACGTAATTGTTACAAATGTAATATTTTATGTTATTAATTATATAAAAACATTAGTGATTTTGTGCTTCTAAAATCCCTTGAAACCGATATCTGCCTTTGAGATTTAACTAATACTCTCTCCCTGAAAATGTGAAATTTTCAGATTCTACATTTTAGATTCAAATAATACTCAAATACAAGGCATTTTTGCAGGAAATCATCAGAAATGACTCTAAAACTCTATCTTCATCTAAAAAAAAGTTAACCTTCAAGAATATTTTAATCATTTAATTTGACATATTGTATAAAAATAAGTGAGGGTAAATATTCATAAGTTTACATAAACTTGGCTGTCGACAGCTCCATTGTGTGTGCTTAGGGTAGAAGTTTGGTATAAATATATCATCATGCTATTAATTATTTTGGTTTAAGTTCTTTTCTTTCTAATAATCTAGTTGAAATGTAATATTTATACGTTTGTAATGCATTGTATGTCTCATAATAGGTCTTATTCTTCTACCCTTTTGGGAAGTTGATGACTATTCATAACTATTATGTTGACACTAAATATTCAAATTTTAGATTTAAGGGTAATTTTTCATGATTTATTTTTGTAAAAATGTCACAAATTTGAATATGTAGCTTAATTTACTTCTGTTCCGTCAGTTCCTATGGAAGTAGACATTAAATATAAATAAATAAAATAAGGGCAAATAATAGTAGTTCATGTGATGAGATTGATCAGTAAGTAGTCAACCTCTGTAAGCATTTTAATCATGTTTGTGGAGTCAGAAAACTTTTGTCAAATTGTGAACGAGGGAATCAACTTAATTGAAGTGTGAATTTAATTTAATATTTTGAAATGATTTTGCAGAACCTAAGGTTTAGCTTAAAAGTGGTCAGTTCAAAAGTTGAGATGTTTTATCAAACTTTAAAGTCCATCATAGCTGACCCAAAGTGCATAGTGATTTTTTAATGTGTAAAACCATTTAAAGATTAATTAATAATTCCTTCCCGAAACATTTTACAGTATAACATTTCTCTACTAATATTTTATATAGGAACCTTTACGAATTGCGAATTAGGTAGTCATACAAAATTATGTTACTAACTTAAACCAGTAATAAATAAAAGTAAATTTCATATTAGAATAAGTTATAATTTTTTTAAGTCTCATCTTAAAAAATTTGTATCTACATAATACTAATTATATATATAGTAGAACTTGTCTATAGTGATATTCTATGTAGGAATAACCTCTATCTAATTATAAAAAATTATATTCCTAACTTGAGCCAGTAATAAATAATAATAAATTTCTTATTGTAATAAGATATAATTTTTCTAGGTCCCGTCTTAAGGAACTTGCCTCTATATAGTAATAATTATTTATATATATTACAAAAATATATACTATATTACATTAAAGATTTAAGATAAAATAAAATATTCATCTAAAGTTGTTTGACAATGATTTATACTATAGAGTTGTTATCATATCTTTTATTTTGCGGATTCATAATAAGTCGTCAACATGGACACCTTCTTATTGAAACTAAAAGATTTATAACTTCTCAAGTATGTTTAGAGTTTCTTGACACGAAACTTTTCGTATTTCTGTACTATCATCCTCAGGATTATCTTCTCATCTTCTTGTCTAATTCTAGTAATGTTTTTTTCTTCTTCAGTTAAAACATACATGACTTGTTACTCATTTAGATGATTGAAGAATACATTAATATCCATTTGATTAGTGTAGTAAATTTGTTGAATCTAATCACTCAATTCTGCAACAACTCTTTGATATCCATTTTCGTACTATCCTAATGCTACTAAAACAATGACTTTAAATCCTACTACTATTAGAATATGAATAGAAATCATAATACTATTATAACATGAATTACAAAATAAAAAAAAAAAATTGAATAAAAAAAAAATTATTATAACTACATCTTTATTAAATTATAACTTCCTTATAGTAATAAATTTAATTAATCCTAATATTATAACTATAGAGAGGTTCTACGGTAGAAAAGAATGAAATATATTTATATATATAATATATAGTTTCAGATTCTCTCAAGTACATAACTCAATCTGTGAACTTCAACTCATGGTTCCTTTTACTGCCTCTCATTATATTATAATAGAACAATTTATTGCTTATATATTTAATTAAGATTAACTGTCACGATATTATGTTCATGTGAGGGAAATCTTCTAATTAAAATTAGTAACACTTGTTAGTTTACTGATCATATTTGTGGTTTGATAAATCATAGTATAATTAGAAGTTACATTTATTCCACATTATCAATTTGATAAATTGTTATAGTGTATATATATAGTTGAACTACTCCTCTTGAGCTAGCTTTAGAAAGTTAATTCTATCAAAGCTCATCTATCATGGTACCATATGCACGTTGAGCAAGAGGGAACGTGTGTTAGAAGGTGTAAAAGATGATCGGGTCCACACTTGGCATGTTAGAAGATCTAAAAGATGATAGGTTTAGATCTTGACTATGCACACCGAGCATGAGG